GCCGCCTGGGCGCCGGCGCCATGTGTCCTTGGCCCAGGACTGCTGTCAGCAGCCGCATGCCTTTGGGAAGAGAGCGCAGCTTTTAGCGGGGCCGTTGCAGACCAGGATGTGTAAAAATCTGGCTGTGGTGACCTCGATGCACTGTTTTATGAGATCATCTGGGCTGGCCTCTGAGGGCGGCGTGGGTAAGAGCCTCGCGCGGCAGGATGGTGCCCGCAGGCTGTCGTCCTCTCCTTTGGGGACGCAGCCGCCGCCGGGTCCCAGCCAGCCCACGGGGATGTCTCTGCTGGGCACTTGGCCTTTCAATCCCGGATAACCCCGGAGCCCAGTTCTCCCTCTGCAGGCAGGGAGCTCCTGTTCCCACGCAGCATCTGGCTGTCTCCTGAGCCTGCTCCCTTCTGACCTCGGCACTTCTTTCCTCTCCTGTGCAGCAGGGGTTACTGAGTTCTCTGCTGCTTGGAAGTTAAATTGGATGAGACAGGTACCAGCTTTTAGTGGGATCTGGTTTGTGTTACTGGGGAAGCAGCACTGCACCCCCACACCTGGGACGCTGTGGAGCTGTGTATAGTTAGTGATAGGATGAGAGGAAATGGGCTTAAGCTGCGCCAGGGCAGGTTTAGGTTGGAAATTAGGAAAAATTTCTTTACAGAAAGGGTAGTCAAGAATTGGAAGAGGCTGCCCAGAGAGGTGGTGGAGTCACCATCCCTGGAAGTGTTCAAAAAACAGGTAGATGTGGCACTTGGGGACATGGTTTAGTCTAGTCTACCCTTGATTGGTTTAGTGTGGACTTGGTAGTGTAGGTTAATGGTTGGACTGGATGATCTTAAAGGTCTTTTCCAACCTAAACGATTCTATTCTATTCTATTCTATTCTATTCTATTCTATTCTATTCTATTCTATTCTATTCTATTCTATTCTATTCTTTCCTGCAGTCCAGCCGAAGCTGCCCTTCCCTCCACATCCATCACGTGCAGATCAGTTATGCTCCTGCACAGGAGTAAGAGTGTGTGTGCATTAAGACCCAAGGCTAAGAGGCTGCTGGTTTGCAGCTGTGATTAATATAAACAGCTACAGAGGATGTACACAGACATTTCCCTGCAGCATTGGTCTAAACACACGGTGATTCAGTAACTGTGTGCTGGTGTCCCTGGGCAAATGGATTTGCACATTTGTCAGGAGTCTGGGGGTTGAGGAGAGACCCAAAAACTACCGGCTACAATAAAATTCACATAGTAATGGGTTAACATCATCTGCCATAACTTCTCAATGGGGCTTTTGTCAAACCTCTCATTCAAGCAGTGTTTGCTGAGGCTTTTGACATTTGTGGCAGTGCAGGGACAGACAGTAAGGTCGTGTGTCACTATAAAGGCCTAATTTTTTCCAAATTCCTCACAAAACTGGAGCTGAAACCTCTCTCATGAATTTCTTGGGGAATCTGCTGAGGCAGCAATTATGTTATCCTTCAAAACTCCATGGAAAAGGTCGCCGCAGAAGCGCGCTGAACCTGTCAGGCCGAAAAGGGAGGAGGGGGTGAGAGCCGCTGTGGCTGCGCGCGGGGCGAGGTCCGAGGCTGCTCTCCGTGCCGGCTGAGCGGAGCTGGGAGACACCTGTGGAAACCACAGCCGGATCGAGATGCCGAGCTGTGGGCAAGGCACAAACCGCACGTCTCTTCGCCTGGTCGGGTTTCTGCTGAAGATGTATTTACTCAGCAGAGCGAGAAAACCCGAAGCAGAGGAAGGTATAAACCAAGAAAACTGTATTTGTGAGGCGTGACTGCAGTGCTCAGACCTTCCTCCCCTCTGAACGCAGACTAAGCTGGGGGACGATAAAACAGGCAAGGAGCTGCCTTCGGATTTATTTCTCGTTCTTTCTCCGTTTCTGCAAACCTCCCATACCAGAATATTAATGCGTGATGAGAAACTAGTTTTAAACAGGACTGCTCACTGCAAAAGGTAATAAACACCGATGCTGCCAAGTAAATTATAGAGGACTTGGTACGTTTCATAGAAAAACTGGCTGCATTACTAGACAGAGATCGTAAGCCTTTGAAAGGTGGAGGGAGGAGGAAGCAAAATACTCCACATAAGGAAAATGCGATTGTGGTAATGACTTTGCTAATCCCTAGGCTTCCAGTTTTATCCATTCATGTTTCCAGTATCTGCAGATGAACTCAGGAGGGTTTCAGTAATCCATTAAAAAAGATCATTTTAGAATTTCTACCTAGGCATAATCATTTGTTGGTTTGTGGTTTTTTTTTTCCTCCTTCTTCCCTGCTAATTTATGGATGCTTCTACTAAGTTTACCAAAATGATAATCAAAGAGCGAACCTTTTCACTTGGTACTTTGATCAGGATGATCATCCTTGTGGAAAAGTCACATGAAGAGTTTTAGAGGAATGAAACCAATTAAGATCTATAGAAATATAATACTGATCTCTGTACAACAATAGGTACTTTTTAAACTGTCCCGTTTATCAAATAAATAATTCTTGAGGAAGTTGAATGTGTTGGTCTGAAGCAGCAAAAATCCTGAAGGTTATTTGTTATTGAGTGTAGTCTGTTATTGTTTAGTCTTTTTTTTATTTACTGTATGCTTTTATATACTTATTTACTGTAATTCTAGCAGAGCGATCTAAGCAGTGCCATGGGTTGCTTATCAGAAAATACTGTCCCTTTTCATGTCCCCATGCATTTCAGTACTAATCTAATGACATTTGCATGATGGAATATTGGAGGTAGAGGTTTTATGCTCGGGACGATCAGAAAGCACCAGATACTCGTAGCTTTTGCAGAAAATGGAAGGCCAGATGGGCCAGGAGATTACTCCGTCTGATCTCCTGCGCACTGCAGCCTGTTCTGTGTCACCCGCTTCACCCCTGCGCTGCATCCCGTAAACCGGGATGAGGTACAGCCTATCCTCTGGCAAAGCAGCGCTTCCCGTTCCAAGAGATCACTTCATGGAGGAGCCACCAACTCTCGTGGCAGTTTGGTTCAGTGGTTAAAACCCCTTCGGCGCTGGGCCGTTAGTACAGATTTCTATTGATGTTTGTTTCACTTTTAACTTCCACCTCTTGACTCTTGTTGTGCCCTTTTTCAGCAGGTTGAAGAACTCTTGGTTCCTTTTCTTTTCCTCCCTGTAGAGCCACTTACATGCTGTAATCAAGCTGCTTCTTCCTCTTCTCTCCGATAAGCTGAACAACCTGAGGTCTTTAAGTCTCTCTCAGAAGGGTATTTACTGCAGTTCCTTAAATAACTTTTCTGTCTCTTTTCTCTGTCTTCAGTTATTCAGCATCTTTCTAAAATGTGGGGGTATTGGCACCGGATGTTTTCTGGTATCTGCCTCACCGACTCGGGGTACACAGGGACAACTTCTTCTCTGTGTGTAGAATGTGGTTGATGCGTCTAAGGATTCATTTGCTCTTCTGTAGCAACCTTGAGCTGCTTGTCCACAGTGACCCTATAATCCTTTACGGAATTGCTGCTTTCTAAGGGAAAAAGTCTTGTTTCAGATGCCAAGCATTACAGAGGACTTTGGTTTACTGCGTTTTATAGTCTTTTAAACAGCATGCAAAAGATGACTGCCCTGCATGAGGATGCTCCAAAAAACCTGCTCCAGGTCTGCACCTTTTTAGCCTCCGATGTCAGCAGAAATTGCTGACACATCTACCACGTGATTTGAGGCGTTACTGTAGGAAACTGCCTGTATCACAGCCCATCTGGAGTCTGACAGAGGGAGCTGGGGGAGAACAGCTGCTCGGAAGTTTGCAGAGAGAGCTCGCGGTCTCATTTGTACCCCTTGGGGACACAGCACACAAAACCCAGACTCAGCTGGGACCTGTGCAGCCTGTTCCCCCGCCAGCGCAGGGTGCTGCAGTTAAGTTCCTAAGAGGCAGGAAGCTGAAGTTCCCCTGATACAGAAGCCTCTTTTACGAATGTCTTTGTACCTGCTCCGTGCTTATCACTGGAAGGTTCAAAAAAAATTTCAAGATTTTAAAACTAATATCAAAATTAACATACCTGTATAAAAAAGCAGTCCAGTTGCATATTGCACTGCGTCATCGCATGGCCTTACAGTCAACATCGTTCCCCTCCATCTGTTGGCTCTTAGCACTTGGCCGAAGAGCTGTTGCTCCTCCGACTAATCTGATCACTGCTGGCATCCCCTCGTAAACCCTTTTGTCTGGACGGTCATGTTTTCCTTGGCAATCTGCAAAGCGCACCAGATCACAGGTCTGTCTCTGATCTGAGCACTTGCATGCCGACGCCTTTCCCTTTCCATTATGTCCTTGCGCCTGAATTGCTGGAGGAGCTGTAAAAAGGCAGTGCAGGGCAGGGAGCTGGTAGAGAGCAAAGGGCTGTTTTGCCAGGCGCTGCCAGGCTGGCCCTGCACGCTTCCCGGCAGGGCTGGAGGAGACGCCTGGCTGTATCCCACCGGGGCTGGGGCTGGTAGAGCTGCTCCCATGTGTAAGTGTGGTGGACGTGTGCTCCAGCTACTGACAGTGGAGCAGAATTGCAAATACACTTGGGAGTTCCCTGCCCTGCAACCCCACAGTTCATTCAAGGTGTTTCAGTGTCTGGCAGATCACAGGAGAAGGTGCCACCATACGCCTAACCTGAGCTGTGCTTCTCATTAGTGTTCTGGCTGTGAAACCTGCGAGCTTGAGATTTGCTTGCTGAGGTATAAAATTTCTCATGGTTAAAGCTTTTTTTGGAGTGGAGACTCCTGCATCCAAAAGAGAGAGTCCTTTCAAGCCTGTGCAACCTAATAAATAATTCTGAGACAACTGAATTTGTTGGTTTCTTTAAAGAAACATAATTATTTTAAAATGACAAACTGGTCCCTTTGTTGATAAATGTTTTATGTCCTTGCTGCTATGCCTGAATAGTTTGTGTAAATAATGTATTAGCTCGCAAACAGACGTAGCACGTTCAGGCAGGCACTGCCCAGCGGGGCAGGAATGCTAAAAAAGCAAAACAGATGATTCTGCGCGGTGCTGAGCGCCGTGTGTGGGGTGGGCATCAGTAGGGACCCAGAAACACCGTCTGCATCTCTTAGGATTGGTCCCACCATGGCTCAGATGCCTGACACTGTGGTGATGCATTAGGGCTACAGATGCAAGCAGTCAGGCATTCACCATCAGCAGGTATGTGGTTTCCCTGGGACTCTTACGAGCAAAATGAAAAGTGTCGCTCAGAATTGCGATACGGTCTGGTTTAGATAGTGTTTGGCACTTACATTTACAGACTGGTTTTCAAAAGACTCGCTTTGCATGCTTGAGAAGAGCTCTCCTTCAGAATGAGGTTTTCAATTTGCTTTGGTTGGTTATTCCTCTAATTTTGTTCTCAAAATGGGCCTTGATTTTTGAAAAAGTAATTTTGCAAAAATCATGTGTGAGGTTCTTTGTGTGTCAGGGCAGGGTCAGGCAAGAGAAGAAGGATATGCACATGCATCAGTGGTTTCCAGATAAAAGTCCTTTGTAAATCGTGCGGAAGTGTGTACGTATAAGTATGCATGGATGCAAACCTGCTTGTGGGGTTTTTTGGACAGCAATTTTGCATGCCCAGGCTGGGACCTAAAAGTTCCATGTTACACCATGGGCAATCATGGAACCGTAGAAAGGTTTGGGTTGGAAGGCACCTTCAAAGATGATCCAGTCCAATCCCCCCTGCTGTGGGCAGGGACATCTTTCAGTAGATCAGGTTGCTCAAAGCCCCAGCCAACCTGACCTTGAGCACTTCCAATGATGGGGCATTCACAATTTCTCTGGGCAACCTGTGCCAGTATCTCACCACCCTCAACATAAAATTTTTTTTCCTTGTATCCAGTCTAAACCTACCCTCTTTCAGTTTGAAACCATTACCCCTTGTCCTGTTGAAAGTGGGTGAGACTCTCTCCAGCCCTACTGAATGGAGTGTCGTCACCCTGATCTGGTCTAACGTCAACTGAAGATCACTGGAGTTGCCTAAACAACCCTATAAAAGGTAAAAAACACCTAACAAAAGCCAGCTGCAATTCCAAACTTGCACTTAATGGCATGCGGCTCGTGTTTTCCTCTGGCTCAGGAAGAGAGGAGAGTCCAGCTCCAAAGGAGACTTGGTGATGCAGAGATGCAGAGGAGCCGTGCTCTTCTTGTAGCTGCCTTTGTTGCTGAGAAGAGCAAATAATAGAAAACTTTGATTTTACTGTAGTCATCAGAAGTGATCAAGCACAGAGAAGGAGCAGATCTGCGGAGGGACAGATCCTGTTTTACCTGGCCACTCTGTGAAGCACAGTCCTAGTCCTCGAACTGCACATGGGGTGGCCCGATTTAGCTGTATGTTAACAAAACTGAGGATGGGAATAGGAGGCATCATTAAAAAACAATTAGCAGTGCATTTTTATATTTATTCCTGCTATCTCCTCTTTTCTCTCTCTTAGAAAATTAAAATTATTTTAATACTCACTGTTGACTGCAATAGGGAAAAAATTTACGGAGTTTCCTACCCTTCCACAGTTCACGCTCCTGCACTGCTTTATTGGAGAAGTTAGTCCTCACTAAGTCCAGAAGATCAGCACCTGCTGTCAGTCAGTGGAAACCCACCCTGGACTGTAACAGTGCTGGGATTTCACCCTAAAGTTCAGTGCTACAAAATCAAAATACACAGAATTAGGGTTCTTCCCCCCCTGCCCCCCCCACTTTGTGTCCTGCTCCTATTTTTGCAGTAGCTTTGTCTCATTTATAGAAAGAAGAAAGAAAAAAAATACTTTGAGATCCTGAGATGAAGGCAAATATGATAACTAATAAATAACCCAAATATTGAAGTATCTAGATATGTTGTGGTGTTACCACCCCTGGGGACTAAGCTGCAGCTGACATCTTATGAGTAAAAATAAATCACTTCTCTATTTCCTTCAAAGTTGTTTCATGGATTTGCTGAACTAATTTTTCCTCCAAGCATGGTCACATTTTGGGTCAGCATGCCTAGACAACACGGGGCTCTGCCAGCAGTTCCTGTGTAAAGTCCCTCTTTTTTTTTTGGAAACAAATCCAGTCATTCATAGAAATGAACTCCTGCATAATTAGAGCCAGTATTGCACATCATCTTTGCTTTCCGTTTTTAGATGTTGCGTCTGGAGGACTATAACTTTTAAAGATGCCAACAAGCCACTTAGGAGCTCGATAGCTGTAATGGGAAAATCTGTGAAGCTGAATAGAAAATGATAAGCTTCATAAGGACTATTCTAAACTGTTTGGTAAAGAGCTCAGCCAGACATTCAAAGCAAGAATAGAAACGATAACCCCTTCTAATTCAATCTTCAGGGGTTTGTACTTTCTCTATAGTCCCAATCCTACAGGGATTGTAGTAATGGAGAGGACGGTGTTCTTTATGCCGGAGTCCTCTGGACTCTGCTGGGTCCAGTTACTGGACTGTGGCATAAATGGGTGCAGGGCACTGGTTTTATTCATATTTTACTATCCAGGGCTTGTAATCAACCGTTTCTCAGTTATTTAAAACATTCAGTAGCCCCAGATACTGAAGCATGAAACTCTAGGGAACTGATCCTCTTCAGCATTTTTTAACCACAAGTTTTCAATAAAGAGCTAATTTAAAATAATTAAGAAAGATTTGGAGGCCTTTTTTTTTTTTGACAGGCAGGAGGGAACCATTAGCTTCAGAGCCCGCAGGTGTTGACAGGTGAGAGATCACACAATAAGTCTTTTATTTCTCTGCACTGTGAGGCTTTCAGGTATGTCCCATAATCTCAAAATTTGAGTGGGTGGCAGATGAGCTAAAATTTGTTTCTTTGTTCAGAAAATGCAGTATGGATTTTTCTTTGTTTGGGTCTTTAATCCAAACTGATGCTTTAATAACTGAAATTCCAGTAGTGGGCTTTTTTTTTTTTTTTTTTTTTTTTGAGTTAGAGAATAAATCAATAAGAGAACTGGCTTTGCAGCGGGAAGTTACCCCAAAGATGTTCACAGCTGGACTGTCACAGCATGTGAGGTTGGTTAATGGGACCAGATGGGGCTATTTAGAACAAGTGTTTGGCACTGCTTTGCTGCTAGGAGAAGGCTAAAGTCTAAACAAAATCACTCTGTGAAGGACAGAATATAATATCACCAATTTTAAAAATTGGAATCATAGAATCACAGAATGGTTTGGGTTGGGAGGGACCTTTAAAGACCATCGAGTTCCAACCCCTCTGCCATGGGCAGGGACACCTTCCACTAGACCAGATTGCTCAAAGCCCCATCCAACCTGGCCTTGAACACTTCCAGGGATGGGGCATCCGCAAATTCTGTGGGCAACCTGTTCCAGTGCCTCACCACACTCACTGTAAAAAAATTCTTCCTTATGTCCAGTCTAAATCT